AAGTACACTTCCATCATGAGAACCAAGTTTGTCATCAATCTCATGGCAGCCCACTCCGTCTCTACCCTTTTTGGCATACCTCCTCTTTACTCTCCTGCTCATGATAGGATGATTTTGAGCACTAAATCGAATGTGAATTCTACTGTCCGAAATGAAGACCCCTTAACACTCACTGCTACAACCAAAAGCTATTTCCTTTCAGATAGAGATCTTACAAAAAGCCGGATCTTTTCTCTCTCAATCACCCTGAAATGTGGAAAAGAAATGCATAAAAGTCCCAGCTGAAACAAAATGACTAGGTTTTCTCCGAGGCCATTGATGAACAAACGGAAAGCCGGAATTCAGACAGACACTAGTGGTTCCAAAAAAACCCAAATCCTACAAACGAGCAGAGCTTCGAATAATGAGCCTAAACGAAAATGCCCTCCAACCTCGAAAAGCCCCAATCGCTGGAGTAGCAAGATAAAATGCTTAAGCGAACACCCTAATTTTGTGTGAGAAGACAGAAAATAAGGATTCACTATCTGCCCAAGAATCTGGGCTTCAGATAGGATACATCCCCGAGCATCAGATACATGAGAGAGTTATTAGGGTCAAATTACGGGCAACGGGGCAAGTATGTTGTTTTCGTTTAGCTAGCCTTGTGGGCCTCTTGGCAAACCTCTATATCTCCATTCCAGGCATTAAATCTATCGTCTTTAATTGCAAAAATGGAGTTTTAATACATCCGCAGAACCCCAGAAATACACAGCTGGGCAAAAGGGAACAAAAGAAAAATGAGAAACAGACGCTGTCCTATATATATATATATGACGACCCTTTTCTTCACTTTGACACGATGATGCGTTTATTTGAGTAAAATCAAGAGAGAGCTATATAGAGATGACAAAGGGGAGAGTGCGCCGGAAAAATAACTCAGGCAAGGGTATAAATATCAGAGAGAGATGTCAGAGCGAAGGCCAGAGCCTATAAAGAAACCGCATGTGACTCACTCTTTGTATATCTCAATCACAATTATGCAAACGCATGACTATAAGCCCGTTACTATATATAATTCAATCACAGATTCACCGTCCTAATGTGGGCTGCGTTGGGATAAATTTTATGAGATTTGAATATATCGTGATAAGAGTATCAAAGACACCTTTTTTTTTTTTTTACAGCAATGTAACTTCTTGCAGTTACATTGAGAAGGTCAAGTTGTGGGGAGTTAGAAAAATTCAATAATGGTTTCCTAACTTGCAAGTATAAGAAATGAAAAGGAAAATGTGACTACACAATGTAAGAAATATTACGGAGTATTTTGATAGTGAATCCCATGTTTTAGAGTTTTTTTTTTTTTTTTTTTTTTTCCTATTTAGAATGTAAAGTATGAAACTTTACTATAGTGTCATGACTCATGAGCACAGAATTCACATGAATTCGATTGAAATTTACATATTTTGTTTGGGCTTGAGGCAGACAAGGGCCCATAACGGCGTAGTGAGTGAGCCTCGTTCCAACATGTATGTTTGAACGTCGTGTCTATAGGCCCAACGTGCGTATAAAATATAAAGGTTAATTTACACGTCTCCTACGTGATTTACAGATAATTGCAAACTTACGATTAAGAGTAAAATATTTGCAACCCACCGAAAGAAATGTTCATTATTTGTTTTTATGCAATAGTATCTGGAACTAAAACTAAACGGATTCAGTTCGTTTTTACGGACCTCTTGATCATTAAAGAAAAACATTTACACATGGAAATAACTAATAACACCTCAAATCTCGCATAACAAATCAACGACGATTTAGAATGGAGACATATTTCAAAATTTAAAACTCAAAAGCAATCATAGAGTGAGTCGATCAACAAATACTTTCTACTATGATCGAGACCAAAGGTGGATTACAACTAATCTATATACGGTACGTATTCATTTCGTATATTTTTAGTATATGTTTTTTCTGGATCATAACATCAAATATTTTTTTTTTTACGTTTTTTTTTATTTTATTATTTATATTGATGGATTCTTCCATGATGGTAACCATTGTGGTGAAATTACAAACTCTATCAAAATACATTTTATTACAAAATCTAATATCAATATATGGTTTCATTTATTAGAATATTGATTATACAATTATTCTTCTGACCTTAAATCTGGCCATAATAATCAAATTGCGTAAATGTATAAAAACATATTATATAGAAATACAATTTCCATTTTAAATCAAATTCAATTTTTGAAATTTCACAAAATAATTTACAAACTCTCATCTCTTAAAACATAGGTCAAAATACATGTGCTTCAGTGTTAAATCATTGTTGATATCAGTGTTTTAAATACCGTACCGATAGCCATACCGGTCTAGCCACCGGTACGCGGTATTACCGGTCGGACCGGTAATATCAGAGGTATTACCGGATTAGCAAATATAATGCTATATATAAATATACATAGAAATATATAATGCCAAATGTAAAAAAAGTAAAAATATAAATGACCATAATCATTAATTTCAGCTTCTCAAAGATGAAAATACAATATTTTAACTACCAATTTAAATTTTATTATTTTAAATTAATTTTTTTTTTATTGGCCGGTATTTTAGACTGATATTTTGCGGTTTTTACGGTATGATCCCGGTACAAACCGGTATAACCGTAAATCCGGTATTTTGAGTGTAATTGTACCGTACTAATGGCCGGTATCTGGTATTACCGGTATTACCAGCCAGTACGGTACGGTCAAAGACGGAGCCATATAAGGCCCAAGGGGGCCCGTGGGCCCCCCTCATTTTTTTTTTTGAAAAAATCAATATGTATATATATATAAAGATATATAAAAGAAAATGCTATAAAATATGTATAGAAATGTAAAAAATCATTACAATATACTAATATATAAAATTTAATTTTTATGTTGTTTAATTTAAATTAGAAATAATATTTATTTAATGGAAAATGTATAATTTTAGTGATTTATTCTTTTTGTTTCTTAATTGTAAATCGATTTAGCGATATAAACCGAGTATGTAGTTGGATTGTTATGTTTTTAATGTTGATTTTTTTTTTTCTTTTGTAATCACATATATTTAACTTTTTTTTTAATTTTTTCTTAAATCATGTCCATTTAGTAAGCTCTAATCAACAAAAATGTTATGCAATATGTTGCAATTTTAATTTAAATCAAATTTTCTACTAAAAAACTTATTTTTCCATAACTTATTCTTTGACCTGGCTAAACTAAGAAGCCGAAGCCCCATGCTTTATTGGCTAAAGCCCCTTCTTTCTTAGAAAACGCATGTTGAAGTTAATTATAAATACATGAAACTCATTAAAAAAGAAAAAGAAAAAATGAGGGTGATACGGATTATAAGTTTTTAAATACTTGATGGTACAACTATCGATATTTATATTTATAGTAAATATATTTTTATATGAAATGAACGTTTCGACTTAAACTACAAGTTCGTTATTTAATATTTAAAATCGGGCCCCCCTGAGTAAAATTTCTAGATCCGCCACTGGGTACGGTATTTAAAACATTGGTTGATATAGACCTCAGTGTTACTTTTTCAATTTTTTTAATGCAAGTCATTTGACATTATTCTTCTCCTTTCTTTAGAGCCTAACATATGTAGGGTCATAATATGTAGAAGTAAATGCCAAAAGAGAGTCAATATATTAATGAGAAGGTAAAACAACTCACCTTTCCCCAGTACTCCACTTCACTTGTGTCTGTCTCAAACATGGCATTTTCTACCACAGTAGCACAATCTCATTATATTCCCAAATTAACATTGACAATACAGTAATGAGATTTTTTATTGAATTAGGGGAAACCATACTAAAATTACAAATTTATCACATTTTAATGTTCCTTTCCATGGTTGACAAATTAAATGCCATTAACAATTACAATAAAATTGAATATATGTTTATTTGAATATTTTTTATTTGTGTAAGAACTAATAAATATTTAATGTGAAGTTATGCGATATAAAAATAAAAAACTAATAATAATTTTACTATTACAATACGATATAAAAATAATAAAATAATAACTATTAAATATATAAGTAAACTAATAATAATTTTACTGGTAAAAGTACATTGCTGACATCCGAACTTGCCGCACAATCTAAGCATAATATATGTTAATAGTCAACGATGGAGTAAAAGTTGCAGAGTATGAAGTTAAACCACAAACTGTCAAACAAGAAATGGTTCGAAGACCTCGGCAACGATAATTGGAGAAGTTCGAACAAATGTTTGGCTGACTAGTTGTAACTTGTATTCACACTAATAACTGACAAGACTGCCAATCTATAGGTTGTCGAGAGTACCATCCTGACTCTTGATCATGTCGAGATTCGAACCATAATCATTAGATATTAAACGAGCTTGTATTTTCCAAGAATATAATAACGCCTGTACTACTCACAGTTGTACTATACATATGCACAATACAGATTAATTGTACCAAGTATATAAATATGCAGACGAGCCACTGTAAAATGATCTTTTACCGAAATAATAAAAAGATCGAGAGAAAAAAGGCGAACTTAGAACAAATCGGCACATTATTGTAAATATTCATTTCCTAAGTTTTGAACAATTATTAACATCCGTTGCTAGTTGCTACTACTACGAATCCATATAGCAGCAGGAACATTATTGGTTGATTTTTTTAAAAAAAAAAAAAAATTACAGAATATAATGGAAAACATAAAAATTAAATAAATAAAAAATGCTTTTTTAATTTATGAGTTGGATAACGAGATTAAAAATACATCTAATTCAAAAATTTAATAAGGTCGTTGGTAGAAAAATATAACAACTAAGCAATCATGTTTCACAAATTGTCCCCCAAGGGCGAAACAGAAAATTAGTTAAGGGGCAAAAGACATGACATTGAACCGATACCGAACTGATAACATTTTGGCAACTGATTTTTGGTTACTCTTACACATAAGTCGATTCGGTTCGGTTTATTTCTCATCGGTTCGGTTGGATTTTTGGTTTTCGGACAAAAAATACCAGCCCTGGTCTGGGCAAAAGAGAGTTGAAGTCTTTTATATGGGTCAATTAAAATTGTAGAAGGATAATAATTAATATACAAAATTAACAGTAAAATAAAAGAAGTGTTGAATTGTTAATTGACAATTGTGGACAAATTAGTCTGGTGAATGATATTTTACAACATAAATCAAAGGGTGCGAAAATAAATTCAAAAGGGGGACAATTAAAATTTGTAATACTAATAGTGTAA